TTGTTTAAGTAAAAAAACTTGATGTTTATCTACCATAATGTAACTTTTTTTCTGCATTATAACAACTTTGGTTACTGAAAGTCACGTATCTATAATCTATATTCGTAATTCTACTGATATTAGTGAATAAGAAAGGTAACTCGAAACTATAAAAACAAAAATAAGAATTTTCAGAGGTACTAGAAATCACTGGAAATCACTAGGAATTACAAGAAAACACTGGAAATCACAAGAAATCACAAGAAATCACTAGAAATCACTAGAAATCACTAGAAATCATTAGAAATCATGGAAATCACTAGAAATCAAAAAATCGAGAAATCAGTTTGTTCCCCCTTGTTTCAAATAGTGTTTTGGGGATCGAATTTCAGGCATTACCATTTGTCTTAGCTTCCTAGGAATAGAAATTTATTTTCATCTAGAAAATAGCTAGAAAATGGGATTAGTAAACATAGACAATGATAAGCTTTTGGTTCCAGTAATTGGAAAGTAGACAAAATATCAAAAAATGAAAACATACTTCGATTCTTCGGTGAAGTCAAACAAACTATTAGAACACCAACGACTATTATTATAGTGCTAAAGAGGATAAAACTGCCGCCAATTTTTCTTTGTCGCTGTGTTGAGTGGAAATTTCTCCTAAAAAAAATATTTGTAGACTGTAGCAAGGAAAAAAAGACTTATATAATTACCGTAACTTTAATTGATCAGTGGTATTCAAATCATCTTTTCGATCCACTATAACTGATATCACATTTGATTGATCGCTTGCATGGACTAAAGACTGCTGATTATATTTTAACAGATCTCCCGATATATTTTGTTGATCCATAATAATTTCTATTAATCTATGGAATACATGACAAAGGAAAGAAACCTTTTTTTTAGCTGGAAAAATGCAAAGTAGCCAAATTGCATACCGTTTTTATGAAGGTGCCTGAAGGAATCAGTCTTTGTCTAATTCCTCTGAATATGATATAAAGCAGTGTCTAAAAAAAGACAGTTTTTTTTTGAATCTAGAATAAACATATTATTAGTTAATTTTTATGCACCAACATCATCGGATGCTCTTCTTAGAGGATAAAAAATCGTACTAAATATGTGACTAAATAATTCTCACTTCTCGTTCTATTTCAATTTTCATTAATTTCATGCAAAGTTTGCAGGTCTTAAACGGTACCAAGCTTTTTTGTTCTGAAGAACACATACAATTAACGTTAATGCAGCACTGCCTGATAGAAGCGAATGTGAATTATTGATTTTCTTTTCATTGAAGACAATCTTGTCATAAGTAATAATGGGCAATAATTAGAATTAGTCAATCGAAGATCTTGTTTGCTTTTTCTGTTTTATCCACGATGCAAAAAAGATGTACTATGCGCTTCCATTTCAACATCATAATGGTTCAAACTTCAATCCGATGAGTTCTGACAATGTCAGTGATTTTTACAATGGCTCGAAGAAAAACCTACGTGAACTAATACATTGATCGAGACTAACTTATTTTCTATGTTACACTGAATGAGTCTTAATAATCATATCTAATAATTTATGTTAGCATTAGTAGATAGTGCTTCTTTCTTTGCGTTGAAAAATAAGAATAAAAACAAAACTGGAGCTAATTTGTCTTATCGAGGGTTCATAAAAAAGAATTCTTCACCTTAGCTGCTGGTTTCTTCAGATGTTTTCAAAAATGTTTTAATCATTACGAAATTTCTACATTTGTTTTGAACTTATTTCGAAAATATTATTTGAAAACTGCATTGATAGCGAAAATCTTCTACGCATCGTTTATAATATCTGTTGAATCTATTTTGTTCATCGTAGCATGACATTTTTCATAGGCAGAGTCATATTGAGTATCAATAGTTTATTTCTATAATATAGCATGATCAAAAAGTGCATCTGTTGTTCATGTAGCCATCAAAAACTGTCGTACGATACGAAATCGATACAGAACCTATGTGCAGTGAAACATGAATTCGAATTAAGGAACTATTTTAGTCCCATTCAAAGTCTAAATCTGATGTGATTAGATCCGAACTAGATGAATCAGAACCTTCGAATCCATTTGTTAGTATTTCACCAACACAGAAATAGGAACGATTCTTGTTATTAACTAAATTCATTCTGAGCGAAAACAAATCTTTCTCGTTTGTTACCACAAAGATTAGATAACTCTAATTTATAAGGGTTGGAGAAAATCAAGTTTTATTTTCGAAAGCATAAAATCGTAATCCAAAACGGTGGGTATCGCCTAAAAACGGGTCCCATTCAATCAGACGAATCTTCTCTTAACACACATTCTCAGTAAAAGCATTGCGTATTCGTACTCTATAGAGTTAAAATTCTTTTTTTAACTCTGAAAAATTCTACAAATGTGTCCTCTCGTGAATTGAGGAATATCATACATTATAAAACTTGTGAGTCAATAAATATAGATGTTACTTATTAAAAAGATATTGAGTTAATCGAATTTTCCTAAATATCGTTGTACACTCAAGTACATGCTGGACTTATTGTTGTTAGATTTACAGGCATATTGATAGAGTTAATCAATTTTTATTTGACATATGATAATTTAATCGGCTGTTAGTAACATAATTTAAAATACATCGAGACTCAGAAATTTTCAATTTCCATAAACATTTGAACAAGTAAAGAACCTTGACTTTGCTCATGATGACAAGTTTCTTACTTTTTGCTTGTAGAATAGAAAAAGAGAAAATGAAGAACATGACTTGAAAAGAAACTGGAAAAACTCTATAGCATGTAATCAATATCTTGTCTCATTCAATCTTGAAATGCTAACAGTAATGATGAGCAGTAGTCTGTGAAAGTGTTTCTATACCGATCTGTTTTTTTTTAAACATCTTCCATAGACGATAGAGTGATTATTTGGCTATAAGAGTAGCTTTAAGTAGACTTTTTCCTCTTGTATCCTAATCGTATAACATTTATATGTTTGTCTTATGAAACTTCTATCATTTAAGATCAAACCTTATTCTCAAAATATTTGTACCAAAACAAAATAATAATGGAGCTTTAATCATACAAACTATAAAATACAATGATGTTAAATATTGCTTTCAAAGTTGTTTATAAAACTATTCACAACAGGCTAATCATTTGATAATTATTTGTTATAAATGTATGCATACATTCAATATCAACTAAGTCGTTCTATTTTCTTAGAATATAACTAGAATTCAAATCATATCAATGTTGAATATTAGGTTAATTTATCTCAGAAACTAACGTAAACTCTGAAAATCATTCAATCTAGATTCATCCTTAATAACTAGTGCACTTTTTGTTATCCATACTTAGTTGTTGATACAAGGCAGAAAGAGTGATACTTCATCTGCTACCGAAGTATTACTCCTTCCCTTTGTGTTGATGTCTACTTAAATATAACTTTTGATTTCATAATGACGTCAAAGGAATAAAATAAAATCGTTATACTTATTAGTGTAAATTAATCGTCACAGCCACATTCTCTTGTAAGTGCTCTTATCTTTCCATCAGAGTGAGTTAATAATCACATGATGGAAACTAACTATCACCACAATCAAGTTGGTGTTCAAAAAGACGTAAGAAATATACGATCTTCGAGCTACAATTTATACAATCAGCAGATAAATTTACAAGAAGCTTCCAATATCGAATCAGGTCATGATGATGGTAGTGACGTACAGAGAGAATACATTATGAATGAATTGGCAAACGATGAAGCATTGCTAAATGATTTCTTACAATTTCGTCAACAACAAGCACAATATCGAATTCCAAAAGCAGGTCACAATTTAATTCCGTACTATGAAAATGTTCAATCAAATAAAAAAGCAATTCACAAACAATTAAATCAATCTACAAAGTTGCAATCAAGAGTACAAATACAACCAGATGTATCAACGCCAAACAAACGTAGATTGAATGATAGTGCTGGGTCAGGAGGATTACCAACACCGAAGCAACAACGATCTGGAAATAATTAATTTCAAGATAATGAAATAATATTAGATGCAACAGGTAGATTCAACATCAAAATACATAAAGCAACACAACATTTCCTTCGATCAAGTGAAACGAGCTGTTTCGAGCAATCTACCATGCTTCTTTATTTCATTCCACCCTACAAATGAAGATCAAAAAGTACCATCAGCTTTCAAAGCAGCAGATCACGTTTTTGAATATCTAAAGCAACAAAATGTCCAAATTAATAAATTTAGTTTCGTAGGATGGGCAGGAGCAAAACTTAAATTGGGAGTAGATGGCAAAGAAGACTATATTAAGCTTGTATCAACCGAAAAATGGCCTACCAGTATAATGAATATACCAATAACAATCGAAAAACCGAAGTTTATTCCCGATTGTTTTGCATTAGTCATCAGATATGTACCTCGCGGTATGGATTATGAATTTGTAAAAGAAGAAATATCACGATCCATCGTATCAGTTGTAAATCTAAAGAGGATTCAATATTCATACAATCGAAAAACCGATGATTATCGCTTTCACGTTAAAGATTTACAAGAGTATAATCGAGCGCTCAACATGAGACGTATCTCAATTGGAAATGTTATAGTACCAATTACACAATTTTTAGAAGGTAATAAATTAACATATTGTA